CGTGGCAATTGATTCTAGATGGAATTGATTAGGTTTCTTAGGAATTTAATAGGCAGCTCCTGGGAGATCATGTTTGGATTTGTATAATTTCTCGTTATAGGGATGGTTGGATCTGTTATTATGAGAAATGAAGTTGTCCTGGCCAAAGGTTTTCTGTAGAGCTTGATGAATTGTAGCATTAAATGATTGAGGGCAAAATGGTGTTGATTAGATGGGGTACAAAGGTGAAAGATCTAGTAGCTAGTAAAACATCTGCACATCTAGATTCCCGTTTGGGGTACAAAGGCACGAGGATTCGCTTATGGGACAATAGATGGAATAGAATCATCTGCTGAGGTGTATGTTTTGGAGAATTTCAAATGTGGCAGCTCTTTCAGATGGATGTGTGAACTGTGGAGGATTTTTGGATGAGGATTACATTCTTGGAAAATTACCACGCGGAGATATTTTTCGGAGGATGAAGCAAGCTAATATAATGGCTTCGCTAAATACCTAGGAATGTGGAGGATATTTAAGTAGGGACCGTATAAGCATTTGGATATTCCTCAACTAGTCACGTTTCAGAAAATTAACAGAGGAAGAGGAGGTTCTAAAGGGTATTTCGTTAAGGATGGTCTCAAAAGGTAAGAGCCCTCAGCGGATCAATTTTTTCTTTGAGGACTTTCTGAATTTCCGAAATGATGTCCAGATCAGGCATTTCCCTTCCCCCAAACTGGTGTTTTCAGTGTAAAAACCCAAGGAGAAGAGCAAACCATATGTTATGTTACACTGATTTTAGCTCCAAGTGTTCGTGACAAATTTGGGATTTACAAATATACACTGGGTGTTTTTTTAGTTCTTTAAATAACTTAAGAGTAGATGCTGTGGGCACTCAATTTAAACAAGCATTTGAAGATTTCTCTGCCCAACTTAATTAAACTGATGCTTTGGTAGTTATGGATGGAAAGTAACTACTAAATATTCAATAATAAGGAGAGGAATAGAGAGCGGGTTGTTGAGAAGGCTATAATTAATGTTCTGGAGTATGGAATTTCTTCAATAAGAGTAAAGCTCTGGGCTGTGATAAGGGGTGGAGATATAGATGTTCTTTGAAGGGAGGTTTGATAGTCATTTGATCAATAGGGATTTTAAGGGCATGACCAAAGTCACACATGGATAAAAATGGAAAGATCATGTATTTAGAATATTTCCCTTGGTTAGAGGTCGTTTAAGTGAATATTTCAAAAGATGGACTATATCATACCAATTTGGATAGTGAAGGATATGTTTTCATTTTCCTAATGCCTATTAGTCATTTACCTGTGGGGGTGGATCTTAGCAAGAAGGAAAAAAAAAATAAAATAAAAAAATAATAATAATAGTAGAGTAGACTTCTAGTTAAAAAAATGAAGGTTACAGTACCTTAATCTAGTGACAGCTCATTGCATCCCAAAGAGTGTCTAGCTTTCAGTTCTCATGAGAAACTCCTAAAAAATTTATGAGCCAAATTTCTGGCACATATTTCTTAATGATGGAATTGAATGCTTGTAAATTAATCACTCATGGTTTTGGAGTAGGATTAAATTGAAAAGAGAACAGATAAAGAATCTTATCCCTCGTCAATTGTTTTCTAAAAGATAACTTGTTTTTTAGAAATCTAGAAAAGCTGTTCGTGGTCTTGGAAGGTTAAAAAATTGATTGAGAAAGGGACTTGTTGTTCGCTTGACTGGTTATGTTTTTCATCATTGTTTTAATATTATTATTATATACTACGTTTGAAAAGATATATTATATATACTAATTTTCCTTTTGATAGTGTTGTCCACTGGGGCTATACTTTTCTTGAATCTTGATCAAGTGTCCAAGGGGTGCCAAATTGATTCCTGGAATATGCTTTTGGTGTAGACTGGTTTGTTATGTTGGAGTTCGTGTTCAATTTGTTGCTAGACATTTGTTTTATGTTTCATATGACAATACAAAGTAAAGGACATGAGGATAAAATAATAGGAAAATTCCAGAGCCTGATAAAAAATGTATTATTACTGTATTGTTATTTAATGAAATGAGAATTATAGGTTACCTAGAAGTTCAAGAGTTTCGGTATCCTGTCGTAGTGCACACTCTAGTCACTTCCATCTAGCCAGTTGACTGCCCTCTCTCCTCTTTGTCATCCGTTTTCACCCCGTATTCTATGTGAGACAATTGACTTCGGTTAGACCAGACCGATTCTGAGAGGAATGTGCCCATGAGGGCACCGCCAGATCTTGTAGATGAACTTCTTCAAGAATCAGTTTAGTATATCATAGCTTGGTGGACAGGACGAGACCATGCACCCACTACATGAGTAGAAGAATACTACTTAATCAAGTAGAAGGGCCAACCTGAGAGAGGCAAGTTGGGAATGGGCTGAAATTGACGATTTGAAGACTAAGTCAGAGATTACTGTACTTCTTGCTGAGTTACTCTCAACAAGGACGTTGAGACTTTTCAAATAAAAAATCTGTTAGGGGGAAGGAAGGAGCGAAGCAAGCAGACAAGAAATATTCAAAAGAAGAAAAAAATGTACTATTGTAAAATGTTCTGATGGTCTCTATACCCTACTCATAACCAACTCTCACTTTAAAGCCCCCTGCCTTCTTTTTAGGGAATACTTTACGGACTAGAGAGTTGGACTCCTATTAGCATAGTTTCAAAACCCCTCCTGTAGCATCTCATAACTGTTTCTTTGCTTTTAATTTTGTTTATATGTACTATATCCAATACAGTATATTAGAAGGTTTAATGCAGTGCAGTTATGTTTGGCCAGAAGAATGTTAAAACCTATTCAAGATGGCGAGGGAAGAATGACAGATAGCATAAATAAAAAGTGTCAGAAGAAACGATATCAAGCTTATGGGTTATGAAAAATTTTGTAGAATCCATATCTTGAAGATGTTATTCTGGCATGTTAATGCAACAGGCTGGTACTCCTTTCTGTAGACCACGCTTTTGTAATATAACTGCGATGTTATTCTTTCAGGACTGTGGAGAAAGCAACGAAGGAGCTGGAATCCAAGACTTCTCATAAAGATATTCCCAAAGATGACAAGCATTAATGTGAATATTGGTTAAATAGCAACGTGAACCTGTTATCTGTCACTCTCTCTCTCTCCCCCCAATTTTGTGGTCCACTTTAGCAATAAATAATGTTTCTTATCTAAGGGTTCCTTTTCATCCCAGTTTAATATCTGTTATGTTCGCTTTAGTCAAGACATAAAATTACATGAATTTTCTTTTACAGAAACCCTAGTCTGTTAACCAAGATATCTTTGAATTCTTCCACTATCAATGGAGGTATTGTTTTATATGATTGAATCAATGGCTTGCCTGGTACGTGCTACTATATCTCACCCTTCTCTTATTCTTGTCTTGTAAGACAACCTAAGATGTGCACTCAAATCGAGACCTTTTCCCATTTCCACGCCTGATTGTAGTCATAAACTAGTTTATTAAGTGGCCTATAATAATTGGAGGTGCTGGGTTGCCTGCCCCCAGTGCCAAAGATAATAGCATTTGTTGACTTCATTTTGATTATAATTATGTCTACCATGTTGAGATAAACAAGGAAATTGTGTTGTTTTCTGCTAACATCAGTATTTGGTATCATTTTGTCATAACCCTGAGGTCAGCCATTTGAAATATAATACTCTTTGTTAAATTCTGTATGTATAATGTATTCCTGCTCTCTTCCATACGGTTTTTTGTGTTTCTTTATTCATACATGCAATGGATAACTGTTAGAAAAGTGAAAAGTAGGCATCCTTTTGATCTTTGAGATTTTGTAAACGATTCTTTTTGATCTTCCTGTCATTTAGTCTTTATCAATAGAGCTGTTCAGTTGGTTGAGGAGAATGTTGACTGAATATTTGTTTATTGGCTATTGGCTATTGACTAGGCTCTCTTTCCATACCATATGTGGTTTGTTTTAGTGCCACGATTTGATTGAAAGGAATACTTGTTTCTTTATTTGTCTATGAGTTTTAGGGACGGCCCCCTGCTTTATTTTTTTCTTACTCCATCCCTTTATCTCTACCACTCCCTGGCCTTTTCTCCATGAAAGATCTTTATTTGTTTGATTAATACATCCAAGCTACCAAATGGCCCCCAAATTCCTCATGTTGCCATCACCCAAATAATGCTTCCTCCCAAAGAAAATTATATTTAGATGTTCCGACTTTCAAAGATATATCTTAATCAGGTGTATTCAGATTGACGTAATTGTTTTTGTCATTATCTGTTTATGAACACTTTATAGGAATCCAAATCTATAAGCCTATTTCAATTTCTTGCAGTGAGATATTGAAATCAAAAGGGTGATGTTGAAGTAGGAAACTATAACAGTCCCCTGCAGATGATACCCGAATGAATAATGAATGTTTTGGAAGTGTTGAAAAATGAACAAAATAACAATAATAATAATAAAAAAACTACAAATTCACCATATTTCTTTTAAAAATATAGAGACCACATACTTGAACCAATTATGAAATCTCACTCTACTCGTTATTGTATAAACGAGCGTTAGAGCGAGGGAGTGAAGAGCTACCAATTTAGGGGCTTCCCCCCTTATCACTCACCCTACCCCTTTGTTTATGCTCCTCTGTTTGGGAGATTAATTGATTGGATACCCCAAAACCATAATCTTTTTTAGGATCTGCTTCCATGCCCCCTGCCCACACTCCTAGATCTTCACATAAAACAGCATTTCTCCTTTAGTTTTGCTGAATTCATTGTCAGCCATTGTTCTATGCTCTATGAGCAAAGCTTGTTTCCATGTTTTCTCCAAATTTACCATTAAAAAACTCAACATGATGAGGATATAAGAACATAAGTAAACTAACAAACAGACCATGATTCAAGAAACAAGTCTAGCAGAGGAATAGAAAGACAATCTATCTCCAGGATTGCTCCGCTCCACGTACATGTCACAAAATGGCACGTAGATATCTTAACGTGCTCACAACGTGGAGCGACTCCTAGTCTAAATGACGATGTCAAAGTAGTAGTCTATTCCTTTCTATGTCAAAGGTCACAAAACAACCAGAAAAATACATCCCTTTGCTGTCTACAATCACAGAAACAAAGAACTTCATATTCAAAAGAGGTCTTGCATTAAAGCCATAAAAAAAAAAACAAACAGACAAAGCTTAAACTACTCCCAAGAAATGGGAAACAAGCCATTAGATTCCTCCTCCATTTCAAGCCCCAACTCACTATGATGGACATTGGTTTTACTAACAGCCTTGTCCTTTGAACCAAAGGACTCAGAGAAATCACTTAGACTACTGAAATTCAGCTCAGTCTCCTCTTGAGTTTGGACTGGAAGACTCAGATGGGACTGAACCAAAGAGCTCAAGCCAGCCTCTGGGAGAGCTTGCACAGGGTGCGATGACAGAAGATAGAGAGCACAACCCGAATCGTCGGGCGAGTTATTGGGAGGCACCGTTTTCTGGCTGTCCCCCTCACTCACCTGAGAGATTGTATCAGGAAGTTGCTGATTGAAACAAAACTGAGAAGAAACCATATGCTTTCCTTGCTTTGAGCCATTCTTAGGCTGCAAAAATGGCAGCTGTTTGTTGTCTCCTCCTCCAAAACTGAAGAAACCAGAGGAATTTGATGGAACCAAAGATGAGTTTTCTTCAGTTCTCATAGGCCATAAACTCCTACCAAGTTCATCAGGAACATGAACTTGTTGATCGCTGAATTGCAGCACAATTGGACCTATGGATTTGAGGAGGATAACCCAACTTTACAAACAGAACAAGAACAGAATCATAAGAAATTTCTATGGATTTGGGGAGGATAGATAACCTTTGCAATTTGACAGAAAATCCCTTGAACTGATGAACAAGGATTCAGGCTGAGGCTTCCTCCTACGCCGATTGTGTCCATCAAGCCTCTTTCTACAGCTTCTCTTAACCTCATCAAACTCACCAAGCGAATGAAATCTACAATACTTTTAGACTCCACAAGAAACCAAAACAAGAAACCATACATTTTGAGGCAAAATTACAGCAAAACAAACGAAACCCATCATTTTTTTGTTGTTCTTGTTATTGTTAATGTTTACCTGCTGCACTGTTGACAGAATCGTTTCTCCTCGCCTCTGACCATCACAACAGGGGTTTTGGAGTGCAAATCGCAGACCCTATGACGACGATGATACTCCTTGCAATTGCTCAAGTCAGAGTCACAGCCATCCACCAAACATGTCTGGTTCTGGCTCGCATGAAGCAATCGAGTCCTCTTGGAGGATCCATGAGAGGTATAACTTTCTTGACTCGAACCCTTGAGAATCTGTTCTTCTTCATTATTTGATCCAATCGAGTCAGAAAAACTTGTGGGATTCTGTTTGTTTTCCTGGAAAGTGACTCTTTCCCCAGAAATTTTTCTCCAACCCCAATCCATAAACACACACACACACACTTGTTTCAATTTGTTTCAATCTGTACCTTCTTCTCTCCAATTGTTCATATGCCCAAATCTTCAAATGGTTATCCACTTTTTGGATAAAAAACAGTGAAACAACGAAGGATAGAGAATGGTTGGATGATATAATAGCAGAGAATCCTCCACTGGTTTTGTTGCAGAAGTTAGCAGATGGATGGAAGGTTTCAGAATAATTTCAATCAATCCAAACCTCTTTGGAATTGATAGGGTAATCAACAGTTAATCAAAAGACCCCACTTAAGTTCTGAGGCTTAAAGGAAGCTTTTTCTCATCTTACTCCAAATGGAAGAGAGAGAAACTGAGGAGAGAGAGAGAAAGGGGTGAAATAATAGTGAAATTTTTGGTGAATTTTTCCATTTTGCCTCTATATGACAAACAGAAACCTCCAAGGAAATGGGTCAAGATTTTGATTAAGAAAGCTCCCATCTTTACCATTCCCACCAAGGCCCATGTATGCTGCAACATTGATACTCATAGGTGAAAGAGAGAGAGAGATGTAATAAGCAAACAAAATAGGCAAAAATGGAAAAAGAGGGAAGAAAAAACAAAGGAAAATTGGTTGATGGAGATGATAGCTCAAACAATTGAAAGGTAAATACAACTTTTGTGCTAAGAGAGAAGAACAGCTTGACATTTGACATTACATGACAGTGACATTTTGTTGGTTTTCCCATCTTTCTTTCTTTTAATATCTCTTCCACTTTTGGAAATGGTTTTAGTGGAAAAATCCCGCTTAAAATATCAATTAATAGGTCTCACCGTTAATAAATTATTAATCTTTCAATATCTTGTTCTATAAATCTCTCTATTGAGTCAACACGTGTATAATTCAGTAGATAAGATATTTTTACTTCTTTTACGAAGTTGTTCTGAAAAAGTTTTGTTTTTTCAATCCAATGTTTCTCGTAAAAAATTTATCCATAAATTCATCCGGTTGTATTGATTTTGTTACCTTGATTTTGAATTTCAAATTGCATTTAAAATTTAGACAAGTGTTTTAGCTAAAACGCTCTGGATAATTTTTCGTTTGAAAGATCATTAAAATACGCTCTCTAGTGCGTTTAAGTGCTAGTAGTCATTGTATCTATTTGATCGAGCCTCTTTTTGAGGAAGTACCCAGAAATTCGTTTCTACTTCGCTTCATCAATTTAGAACATACGAGACGTGTCGTAAAGTTTAAAAACTTAGGATGAGATTAAATATGAATAAATGTGAAAATTGGAAGGGAGATGAGACTAGAAAGAGAAAAGGAAAAGAATTAGTATTAAAATTATAGGAAGGCAAATGGCTTTAAAGAAAGGGAAATCAAAAGCATTTCATGTCTGTTCTTAGAATCTCTGACAAATTTCCATTTTGTGACCACAAAAATTTAGGGATTGATTTATTATGCTTTGTAACACTTTTTTTTTATACCAACTTTGGCATCTTAACAACAATCATAATGCTTTTCTTAACGATATAGTTGTCGGCCTCACGATTTTAAAACGCGTTGGTTAGGGAAAGATTTTCACACCCGCTTCGTTCCCATCGGTTGAGGGGATGTTTCGTTCCCGTCTCCAACCGACGTGGGGTCTTACAATCTACTCCCCTTATGGGCCAGCGTACTCGCTGGCACACCGCCTAGTGTCTGGCTCTGATATCATTTGTAAGAGGCTAAGTCCACCGCTAGTAGATATTGTCTGCTTTAGCCCGTTACATGTCACCGTCAATCTCACAATTCTATAATGTGTTTGCTAGGGAGAGGTTCCACACTCTTATAAAGAATCTTTCATTCTCCCCTCCAACCGATGTGGGATCTCACAACATTACTCATTTTTATACATCATCTGTCAAGTCAATTTACGAAATGATCTTGTTAACTACACTTATAGTTTTTACACACTAGTCAGTTGAAAATTTTCAAAGCCTAGGAGTAAAATGGAAACTTACCTTAGGGTTAAAGGGTATTTTGTGTAATTTAACGTTATTTTTCTCCTAGCTCGAGTGAGACATTCATATGCTTTACTTTACCTCAGTGCAATTATTATGGAGACTTGCACTCGATGCAACCGTTCTCAAAATCATATAAGACGATTGTGAGATAATTCTAACTAATTTATTTGTTGATTTTGAACTCGGTTTTTCAAAATTTCTCGTATTTGAATTTCATTTTTCCTAGGTTTCCTAAGGTGTCCCAAGCATATATATATATTTTTCTTTCTACACCGATTTGAGATTCATTCTCCAAGACACCTAATAAAATCCCGAGAATTTGCAAATTAAAAGGCGATGAAAAGGGAATTACATACCTATTGAGCTCGGGTGCTACACAAAGTGACAAGATAAATCATCACGTAATTCTTTCTAATAGGAAGATAAAAGAATTCATATTAATGAAAATCCACGAAATGGAAGCACAAACAAATTACATGATAATTTCTTAGTCGTATCACACCATAGGTTAATCTCTCGTTTCTCGAACTTGACTTATTAGCCTAGTTACACTACACAACACAAGTATCGAGTGAAGTTGAAACAGATATAATCGACGTCTAGTCGACGTCAAAAAAAGGTCACCCAAACAGGTACTCACAAAGTAACGACTTCACATGCAAACAAAGAACGTCCTTCTCAATATATTTAGACATCTACAAATTTTTCATATAATTGTAATTAAAATAATTATAAAAAAAAAAAAAAAAAAACTTCAAAAACTTGATAATGTATTTAAAATGGGCCACATGAGGCCCAATAGTTGACCACTTTTTTTATTTATTAAAAAATAAATTAATTCATTTTTTAATTAAATAAACTCTCTCTTTCTTTATGTCTTAGTGGATTCTTATTATTAAACCAAAATAATAATAATAATAATAACTTAATTTTAATGCAATTTGGTAATCCCATTTCATAAAGTACCAAAATTTCTTATATTATCTTTAATCTTTTCATTTTTGAAAAAGAAAATAGTATTAAGTTGATTTTTTATTTGTTTATTTTTAATTATTAAACCAACAACATAAAAACACAATGATATTGTGTTCCAAAGTTTGTTTTTTATTAATTAATTTGTTTTAAGATAAGGATTAAAATCCCCAAATTGTAGTGGCTGCCAACCGATTTGAATTTTTTTAAATCAATAATATTTTTGTATATTGGCAAAGCTTTAATAATATCCATGATAACGTTAGACAAAACATTCTTTATAACGGTGTGAAAATCTCTCTCTAGTAGACGTGTTTTAAAATATTGAAGGGAAGCTCGGAAGGGAAAATCCAAAGATGATAATATTTGCTAGCGGTGGACTTGAGCTGTTATAAATGGTATCATAGCCGGTCAACAGACGATGTGCCCGTGAGGATGCTAAACCTCCAGGGGTGGATTCTGAGATTCCACATCAATTAGAGAGGAGAACGAAATATTCCTTTTAAAACATTGAAGGGAAGTCTGGAAGGAAAATCCGAAAGAGGACAATATCTGCTAGCAGTGAGTTTGAGCTGTTATAAATGATATTAGAGCCGGTCACCGGAGATGTGCCCGTGAGGATGCTAAACCTCCTGGGGTGGATTATGAGATTTCACACCAGTTAGAGAGGAGAACAAAACATTTCTTATTAGGGTGTGGAAGGCTAAAAAAAAGTAGATTGTGAGAACTCTCCTTAGTAGATGTGTTTTAAAACATTGAAGGTAAGCCCGAAAGGGAAATCCCAAAGAGGACAATATTTGCTAGCGGTGGGCTTGAGCTGCTATAAATAGTATCAGAGCCAGTCAACGGACGGTGTGCTAGCGAGAACGCTATGTCTCTAGGGGATGGATTGTGAGGTTCCACATCAGTAAGAGAGGAGAACGAAACATTCCTTATAAGGGTATGAAAGCCCCCGAGGAAGTGGATTGTGAGATCTCTACTCGACAACGTTTTAAAACCTTGAGGGAAAACCGAAAGAGGATGTTTCAAACATATAAATATTCTAAATTTGAAGTATTAGGTCATAAATTTGTGTTTTTTCTTTTGATATTTTATCACATTTATTGTCAAATCTTTTACATTAAGATTATTCCAAGATTTTTATTCATCCTCTTCCACATTTTTTTTTTTTAATTTTTAAACCTTTTACTTTTAGATTATTCCAAAAATTTTATCAATTTTTAAAAATTTTATTTTTGCCATTTATACTCGTTAACGAAAAAGGGTTCAATTTTAAATTTATGAAATTCCACGTCCGTCGATTGAAGAAAGGAATAAAACATTACTTATAACGATGCGGAAACCTGTCATTAGCAGATGTATTTTAAAACAAAGCTCGAAAGTAAAGATCAAATAAAACAATATCTGTTAGCAATGGGTTTGGACGGTTAGAAATAGTATCATAGCCCACATTGATTATAAATGGCTCGACGATACATAACGTACGTAATGGGACCAAAACAGACAATATTTACTAGTGGTGGATTCGACCGTTTAGTTTGTCATTTTAGATTATTTATAGAGAACTCGTCCACTAGAGTATGAAATATATGACATGGCTAGGTACTCGTTGTTGAGAAAGGTAGAGGCCAAGCAAGTTCAATCTAATCAACGGTGACGACAAAGAGTGACTTACGAAAAGATATAATGAAGAAAAATCATGGTTGGATTCGGTGTTGTGTTTCGAGAAAAATCATGGTCGTGAGCGTTTGTTTTCGACAAGAATAAGAAACCAATAGTTGTAATGAGATTTTTCTTCGTTGTTGTTGTGAGTGTTTTTCATGTTAGGTAAACTAATATAAACTCGTAGTCGAAAGCAGGATCTGTTTGAAAAATTTTTAATTATGTATTTGATAGTATGAAGAGATATTACGGAGGTATATGCTACTTGGGTATACGGGTTTTTATTACTCGAGCTTCCTCACATCTAGGTTCTTCAAGACAGCTTAGTTTTTTGGTAGTTGAAATTGCCGTTGAAGCATCATTTCGAAATGACAACATGAAGATATATATAGATATGGATATGGATATATAAACACGGTTACGCTTATCAAAAGACTGACTTATGCCAACGTGAAAGAATCAGCGGACAATCTCGTGTTTCAACCTCACTGTACTATTAATATTTGTGGGGCATTGTATACTGAAAACTTCTGCGGTAAACAAGTGAATGGATGTAGTGTGTCATGGTCATGCTTGTCCAAGGCGTGTTGCCCGTGACAAGCCGAAACCCTTGCCTTATACTACTTTACCACTTTCTTTTCCTGCTTTCATGTTGTATTATTTTCTTCTTGTTTTCTTTAAGAGTATGACGTTTCAGCGAGATCATGGCTACGCCTGGTAGACATGAAATGCCTCAAAATGTACTATAGGCGGATGCGAC